TCATATCTACAGTTTTTGTAAATTTTTCTGTCCCACCATGCAACATTCCGATGTGACATATTTCATCTGTTTCACTGCATATTCCGTATGCTGATGAAGCATATTCTTTGTCAATGTATTTTTATTTGTTGTCGTTTATTATTATTATTATTATTATTATTATTATTATTATTATTTGTGTATATTATGTTTCCTGCTTTGTATCCTGTAGAGCCGGGTCTAAACTATGGTCCTTGATGGCACTTCTCTTAGTGTACGTGATGTTCCCAGTCGGGCGATCTTCTGGGCAACTTGTATGTTGTTTACTCTTAGTAAAATTGTCCATTCCTTTTCTCAAGAGGCCCAGTGCTCTGATTACTATTGGTATAGTCTCAGTCTTCATTCCCCACATCCTGTTAATCTCAATCTCCAGGTCCTTGTATTTGGACAATTGTATTTGGAAAATTGCATACAAGTGTAAAAAAATATAAAAATGAAGTAAGTCTTTATACAAACGTGGCTTGTCTTGTATTTTTATAATTGTATGTAATTTTTAAACATAATTTGAAGAAGGCAGACATACTGTCGAAACATTGTTAAACATTGTCTTTTCTTTTTCTTTTCTTAAATTGTACTCTTCTGTAAACAGTGAAAAATATTGGAATTACAGGAATCATTTTGTTTATTAAGCTTATTATTATTATTAATAGTGTTTTATATTTCCTGCTTTGTATCCTGTAGAACCGGGTCTAAACTATGGTCCTTAGGCCCTATAGGAGAATTGTCATTTAATTGATAGCACTTTTCTTAGTATATGGGATGTTCCTAGTAAAGTGATCTTCTGGGCAACTTGTCTGTTGATGTTACCTGGGACGCTGTTAATAAAATAGTCCATTCCTTTTCTCACGAGGAACAGAGTTCCGATTACTATTGGTACAGTCTCAGGCTTCATTCCCCACATTCTGTTAACCTCGATCTCCAGGTCCTTGTATTTGGACAATTTCTCGATAATTTTCATGGAGGTGTTTCTCTCAGATGGTACTGTTATGTCAATAAGCATACAATTCCTGAATTTATAGTCTTTTATGATAATATCAGGTCTGTTGGCTTTTATTTCCCTGTCAGTTTGAATTGGCATGTCCCAGAGGATAGTTACATCGTTATTTTGGGTAACTGTGTCTGGTTGGTGGTCATACCATCTCTCAGTGGTTTTGATTTTGTGCTTCTGGCATATCTTCCGGTGCACACATGTCGCTACTTTGTTAGGTATGTGGGTATATTCAATTATTATTATTATTATTATTATTATTATTATTATTATTATTATTTTCTTCGATTTCTGGCGTTTACACATTTCTTTCCGGGTCTAGCCCAGGGACCTAAGGTTAGAAATGGCGTCATGACACTTTCCACTGACAAAAAAAAAAGCCCTTCGTAAAGTGTGTGCTGTAATTGTAAGAACAATTTTTTGTATCTCCTTGAGGCATGGACTTCCAGGAATCCCTTCAATTAGTCTACTGCAATCTTTTCCAACCAGTCCTAGGGCTCCAACTACAACAGGGATTGTTGATGTCCCCATATGCCACATTTTCGAGATTTCTATTTCAAGGTCCTTGTACTTTGACAACTTTTTGAATATCTTCATAGATACATTGCAGTCAGCAGGGACTGTCATATCAATAAGGAAGCACTTTTTTTTTTGTTTGTGGTCTTTAATAACAATATCTGGCCGGTTGGCCTTGATTGTTCTGTCAGTGTGTATTGTGTAGTCCCATAGAATTGTAACAGGTCCTATCTCCGTAACCGGGTCTGGGTGGTGTTCATACCAGTTTCTTTCAGTTTCCTACCCGTAGAAGTTGCAGATTTTCCAGCGCAGATATTATTATTATTATTATTCCTTTGATTTCTGGTGTATACTCGTTTCTTTCCGGGTCCGAATCAGAGATCTAAGCTCAAAAATGGCATCATGACATTTTCTACTGAGCATTTTATGAGAAAAGAAAAAACTAAGATCAAACATATTTTACATAGAACCCCCCCCCCCTTTGTAAGGTGTCGGCTGTACTTTTAAGTATAACTTTTGTATTTCTTTAAGTCTTGTACTACCAGGAATCTCTTCTCTGAGACTACTGGAATCTTTTCCAGTCAATCTGAGGGTTCCAACTACTACTGGAATTGATGTCCTCATGTGCCACATTTTTGAGATTTCCATTTCAAGGTCCTTGTTTTTTAAAGATTTCCAAATATATTTATAGTCTGTCGATAATAAGTCACATTTTACGGTCTCTAATCACGATGTCTGGGCGATCAACTTTTATTGTCCTGTCTGTTCCATAAATAATGTTACATGTCCTGTCTCCGTAACCGGGTCTGAGTAGTGTTCATACCAATTTCTTGCCGTTTTCCTTTCCATAAAAGATTTCCCAATGCAGCAGATATTGGCCAACTCTGTCATGCCGGGTTTATATTCAGTTGGTGTACATACAGTACCACCTGATATTATTATTATTATTATTATTATTATTATTATTATTATTATTATCTTGGGTTTCTCTGGTATACACATTTCCTTCCGGGTCCCAACCAGAGACATAAGGTCAGAAATGGGTTCATGACATCTTCCATATATATATATATAGCCCACACACAATTTATATAGATAAAGCTCTTCGTAATGTGTGAAATGTATTTGTGAGTACATTTTTTTATAATTCTTTAAGGCATAGGCTACCTAGGAATCCCTTCAACTGAGTCTATCGATACCTGTATATATCTGTCTGTGTCTATGTGATGAGACCATAGATAGATAGATAGATAGATGCGACCATAGATAGATAGATAGATAGATAGATAGATAGATAGATAGATAGATAGATAGAGGACAGGCAGGTGATATATATATATATATATATATATATATATATATATATAGTAGAGAGAGAGAGAGAATGAACAGACAGTGATAGATATATATGAATAGTCTTTGATATATAGATAGATAGACAGACATGACCAGAGATATAGGCATGACCATAGATAGATAGATAGATAGATAGATAGACGGAGATAGATAGATAGATAGATAGATAGATAGATAGATAGATAGATAGATAGATAATGAACAGAATTAGATAGATAGATAGATGAACAGACGGAGATAGATATAGATGAATAGTCTTTGATAGATAGATAGATAGATAGATAGATAGTGATACATAGATAGAATGAATGAGTAGGACTGAGTGAATGAGACATGCGTCGGAAGAGCATATGTATATTCCTGTATTCCTGTTTCTCTTCAAACAGGCTTTGAATTTCGCCTAGATTTGAACACTAGATTACTCACTCTTATTACCACTCTCTCCCTCCCTCTTTCCCCCCTCCTCTTGACCCTCTCTATTATCCTTTCAATCGCTCACCGTACCATCTCTATTCTTATCCATACACTTCTCTCTCTCTCTCTCTCTCTCTCTCTCTCTCTCTCGTGTCTTTTCGCTATTTCTCCTTGATCTGTTCCCCCTCTCTCCTCTATGCCTAGCCATCTCTCTCTCTCTCTCTCTCTCCCCGTCCTTCCCCCCTCTCTCTTTCTCACTCCGATTCTTCTCCCTTCTCCGTTTGAATGTCGAAAACGTAACTGTCACTGTCAGTGTCTAATAAATAATTCCCAGCTTACCCCTCCCCGCCGGTTATCTGAAAAATATGACACATTTGTGTCACTTCTACACCCCAACCGCCCCCACAACGCGATTTCATTTGGATGAAGGCCAGCTTCTCGTTTTCGGAAACTAATGTCACCCACTTATCTTTTAATTCGGTCTCCCTGCCCTTCACTTTTCGGGCAGATACATTCGCAATGTTTATTAGTTAAGATTCCTATTTATCTTCTAAATGCGTAAACTGAAGTTCTCGCCCTTTCTCTTTTCATTCCTACACACTTACTACCTACCATCCTTCTATCTATCTATCTATCTATCTATCTATCTATCTATATATATATATATATATATATATATATATATATAACTATCTATATATCTCAACTATCTCAACTATTTATCTATCGATCTAAATTTGTCCATATCTATCTATCTATCTATCTATCTATCTATCTATCTATCTATCTATCTATCTATCTATGTTCATATCTATCATTTTAGTCGATTCATATCAATTTATCAGTATCTATCTATCTATCTATCTATCTATCTATCTATCTATCTATATATATATATATATCTATTTATTTTAGTGCCATATCATACAAAATTTATCTATTTATCTATCTATCTATGTTCATATCTATCATTTTAGTCGATTCATATCAATTTATCAGTATCTATCTATCTATCTATCTATCTATCTATCTATCTATCTATCTTAGGCTTTTCATATCTTTCTCTCTCTCTCTCTCTCTCTCTCTCTCTCTCTTTATCTATCTAATTTTCCTCATATCTTTCTTAGTCTATTCATATCAATTTATCAGTATCTATCTATCTCTGTTCATATCTATCTATCTATCTATCTATCTATCTATCTATCTATCTATCTATCTATCTATCTATCTATATATATATATATATATATATATATATATATATATAATCACGCTGCCCAAATATATCCATCTATCTCACTCTGCCCATATAAATCTACCTACCTCACTCTATCCATATATATCTATCTATCTCACTCTGCCCATATCTATCTATCTATCTATCTATCTAGCTATCTATCTGGACTTACCTATAAGCTAAATATAGTTATAGGTATGTTCCACACCCTAGATGGCCACACACCTTTGGCATACAGATATTTTTATTATTCCATTAGTTTGTATTCTTTAACACGAAATCTGATCTAAAATTATGATCATTAATAAATAGGAATCATGTATAATTAGTTAAAATTTTGTACACGAATTCTCCCAGAGGAGATATACATGAGGGCCTCAGTCTGGCTCTGTAGATAGAATATTCATATCTTTTTAATCTCACTATATCAGTACGCATATCTCTCTCACTATGTCCATATCTCTGTCTCTTCATATCGATCTGTCAGCATATATATATATATATATATATATATATATATATATATATATATATATATATTAAAGACATTTTTATATTTAACGTTGTTTTTTATAGATAAACATAAAAATGTCTTTAATAAATAAATTGTCGGACCTTGTCCATTTCTTAATATATGACGTCATTTCTTTACATTTGATACGCCAGAGCAGTTATGAATGTACGAGATTCATGGAAGATTGAAGTTTATAAGCAGTAAATTCGACCTTGTCTACCGAACGATTCTTTGTAGCCGAACGGTAAGGCACGTCAGCGTAAATGTCGGTTCCGTATAGGATGCAGGTTCGAATCCTGTCAAAGAACGAATTTTTTCTATGAAAATTTCTCGGACATTCAGGCCGGTAAATGTTATTTAATACTGTTTATCATAAACAGAGCATTTACTTAAATACTTGTATCTATAAAAAAAACAACGTTAAACATAAAAATGTCTTTAATAAATAAATTGTCGGACCTTGTCCATTTCTTTATATATATATATATGGTTATTATTATTAATATTATAAAAGGCACGAACACTTAAAATTTCATGAGGTTATATTTATTTCGTTAGGGTCGTAAAAAAGGCCCCAATTCATCAGACCTTCATATCTTTGATACAGAACCTTCCATATCACTCTTAAAGAAAAGGGGCCCTAAAAAAATCAAGCCGGATATTAATCTTATAACCCTAAATTAAGATTGATACCTTTCGCCCTCCTCTTAACACCATCTCCGGTATTTCATCTTGCTGAGCCGTTGAAATGGGTAGCTTCAGTATCAATTTGTCGATTGTTGTCAAAGTTAAATTTTAAAACCTCTAATTCCGACACGAATACAGTCCATACACCGGGGTTGAATAAGACTAACGTAATGCGCGTTGATTGAAATAGCTCTATCACCATATGAGATAATTTGGGATTTGGTTGTGTTATTTATATGGTCTGTTTATATTAAATACATTTAGCTGTTTTTGTTGACCATTTTTAATATTTGATATTACTAGGATCCACTTGGATTTTATACCAACAGCTTTATCATCTGTACTATGTATCGGCGCGGTGGGGTAATGGATAGCGGCGAGGGTAGAGCCGAGTTCGAATTCCCGTCGAATCTATTACATTCTCTTTCGTGCTAATACCCTTGGGGAAGGGTAACTAGCAGGACAGACCTTAGATGGCAACTGGTCTACAGAAGAAAGAAATGGCAAACTACTGCGGGAAAAATCTGCCTCGTCAGTCATGTATCGAAAGATACATGATCACCTTAGCGTGTATCACTTCTGGCACATAACTGACTATATATATATATATATATATATATATATATATATATATATATATATCTCTCGGTATATATATATATATATATATATATAACATCTCCGTATATATATATATATATATATATATATATATATATATGTGTGTGTGTGTTGTTATGATAATTTACCCATGCACGCATGGACTCTCTCAGCTATAAATAGGAGCAGGTACTGCCTTTCTCGAGAGGGAAGTTTTCCAGCAGTCAGCTCTGACTGTCGGACTGAACATTCTTGCTGTAACACTCTTGTTTGTATATGTTTGTATTACTGTTTCTGTTAATATATTTGTTTAACTCAATTCCTCTCTTTGTGTCTTAATTTCTGGCCCTAACAAGGCCACAATATATATATATATATATATATATATATATATATGTGTGTGTGTGTGTGTGTGTGTGTGTGTGTGTGTGTGTGTGTGTGTTATTTTTAGTGGATACTCATATTCGAATAGACGTTCCTTCGTTTATTAGCCCTTATATATATATATTGGTTTACTGGACTGAATATACAAGAAATATTATTAATATTAGGATTCGTATCTGCGTTTATCTGTGCAGAGGAAAACCGTTGTTAGATCCGACGTGATTTAAGCGACTCGGCTGCGAGAAAGCTTTACGGATCAAGCAATGTTTGAACAGTGTCTTTAACCTAAATTTATTTTGTTATAGATTCCTCAAAATTATGAAATCTGCTCAGTTTTTTTTATCCAAACATAAACAATGTTATTTTCAATGAAGTAATGGATATTTTTCTTAATTTATTAATCCGACAGTTTTTTGTCACTTTAAACGTTATTTTTAGTGGTTACTCGTATTTGAGTAAACATTCTGTTTATTTATTAAATAGTATACATGTGTATGTGTCTACATTTATATGATTCCGTCTCGATCTCTCTATCTGACTGTCCATATCTATCTATCTAATTCTGTTCGTTGTCTATCTATCTATTTATCTATCTAATTCTGTTCATTATCTATCTATCTATTTGTTGAGCATACCTATGGATGATAATGGGTATGTCCCTATTCACATAAATACAGTAGTAAATACTGTATGTTGGTCTGCAGTTGGAGATTCGTTTCTAGCAGTGCTGGTCAAACTCTCTGTCCCAGGACATAGAGGATCCCCAGACGAGGCTCGGATACGCCACATTAAATTCGGTCTTGTACCACATCTGACCGCGTGGGGCGGTTAGTAGATATCCTGCAGTTGGAGATTCATTGTGGAATTCCCTTCTCAATTCCAGTAGCTGACTACTTCTACGCGCCGCTGGCGAATCTTATATGCCTTGTTCTTGTCCTAAGTATTATCGTTCTTTACCAGCCTTCGTTTGATTATTCTATTCAGTAGCCTTCCCTAGATTACAACACTATCTATCTATCTATCTATCTATCTATCTATCTATCTATCTATCTATTTATGTGTGGGTCGTGTAATAGATACTGTTAATTTATTAGTGCGGCCCGCCTTCTGATATGCTCTGTCTTATGCGGCCTACTGTTCGAAAAAGGTCACCCATGCCTTGCTTAGTGTATGTGATGCAGGGTTTCGGGACTCTCGCTATCTTATCAACATTTGCATTTTCTCTACCTACATTTATATACATTACAAATTAAACTAGGCAAAACTGACTATGAATGGATGGAAAGTTTTCGCGGATTTTGACGTCATTCTGGAGGTTTGTTTTTGGTGTTTTTTTGTCCAAATCTGTGAATTTGTGTTGTACATGTCAAGTCTCGAGAATTCACTAGTTTTTATCCATAATATTGAATGAGTCAAATAGAACCCGTAGGCCTCGACCATCAAAAAAAAAAAAAAAAAGAGAAGAAAATCTGAAGTAGATTTTAAAAATTGCTGCAAGACATCGTTGATTTATTTAAGATGGAATCAACTATTATGACATGTCTCTAATTTGTATTTAGATACATTGTATTTATTTTCAATATTTCTAATTGAATTGTTCACCTATATTGCATAGGATCTATTATTGTACATAATTAGGTTACAATAAAATTAGTATTTTATATGAATACTACCTTTTGAAAATAGATATATAGTAGAGTGGGGGGTCCAGTATCATAGATTTAGGGATGGGGGTGGGCACGAGACGTTTGCATCTGTCCTCTTCATAGGATAGTGAGTTTGTGTTATAATGGACGTGTCACTGAAAGTTTTGTATCGAAGAAAGTTCAATTCTGTCGGTGTCCAGCTTGCTTTTCTTAAAAAGAAAGATCTCGATGTTAAAAATTGCCGCAAAACATTGTTGATTTATTTAAGATGGAATCATCTATTATGACATATCTCTAATTTGTATTTAGATACATTGTATTTATTTCCAAGTTTTCTAGTTGAATTGTTCACCTATATTGCATCTGATCCATTATTGTACATAATTAGGTTACAATAAAATTTGTATTTTACATGAATACTACCTTATGAAAATTCAGATGTAGCAGAGTGGGGGTGTCGAATCATAGATTCCTAAAGGTGGCCTGTATAATAGATTCGTAAGGGAGGCCCTGTATAATAGATGTGAGGGTTGACACGAGACCCTTGCACCGGGCCTGGTCCTACTCACCTATTCGCAAATAAATTTAACGAATCTTCTTGAGGATACAGTGGCAGGGGTGTTACTTCGTTCCTTGGCATATCTACTACCCTTCTGCATAAAAATCTGTGGGCACCTCGGCGTGGTATAATGTTTAGATCAGTTACGATTGAAAAGTGAGTTCGATCCTCACTAGATAATCCATAGTTTCGGTCTTGTGCCACATCTAAGCTACGCTTAGTAAGTAACCATAAGATGAAAATCTACATCGCAGCTTAAGGTGTTGCGATATTTTCTATCGATTTATATTCTGGTGAAAAAAAAAAAAATATATATATATATATATATATATATATATATATATATATACGCCTATCGGTCCATGTCTTTTTTCCCGCTAATTAAAATAATTATGTAAATTAAAAAAAAATGTTTTATAGAAATTCTAATTTTTTTTATAAACTTTTGTCGGTATCCTCACCTTTAAATTAGGAAAACAAAGCCTGCCTCGTTACAACTGGTATTTGCCCGACCCCCACCTCCCCCGCCTCAAGCACGTGAACCAGGGCGATGGCCAAATATTGCTCGGTTTCCGCTGCTGTTAGTATTCCACCGACCTTCCCTTAGCGCAATCAGGGAGGCGCACCAGACATCTCTCATTTACTTATTTGCGCTCTGTCCGAAAAGAAAATAGAAAAAATGTCATATAGGAAAAAAAGGAGTAACTACCAACACCGAGGTTTTATACTCCTTTTGTCCATATAGGAAAATGAACGTGACACTCTGGCTTATGAATATATGTTTTCCGCCAGGTGTATAAATAGCGGTGTCAGGCTACTGACTGCACTGATTATTGAGTGGAGCTATCCAGTCGAATTAGTGTTAATTATTTATATCCATTTATTATATATTTTCATATAGGAAGAAAATGGGTAACTACCGACACCGAGGTTCGAACGTGACACTCTGGACTTATGGATATATGTTTTCTGCCAGGTGGATAAATAGCTGTGTCAGGCTACTGATTGCAGTGATTATTGAGTGACTACTGAGTGGAACTATCCAGTCGAATTAGTGTGAATTATTCAACCCCTTTTATTATATATTGTCATATAGGAAGAAAATGGATAACTACCGATACCGAGGTTCGAGCGTGACACTCTGGACTAATAAATATGTTTTCCGCCAGGTGTATAAATAGCGGTGTCAGGCTACTGAGTGTAGTGATTATTGAGTGACTATTGAGTGGAACTATCCAGTCGAATTGGTGTGAATTATTATGAGTCGATGATTTGGTTTTGATTTAGGATTTGCCGGACGTTAAGCTGAGCCGCGACACTAACAAGGTATTCCCTGAAATAGTTAATGATGTTTGGTTGATTTTTATTTCTTTGTTCTTGTTAAGTATTTATTTGCAGTTGTAATTAAATACTGTTTTATTTTAATACTGAAGTCTTGAGTTATACTTAATAATTCACGACCACCGTATGTCACAAAACAATGTAGCCACCCAGCCTGAAGTTAGGGGACACTGGTCGGCATCGATAATACATTAACAGTCAGTTTCATATCAGCCTTTCATATAAATTACTTATAAGTCGTGTTTATAACACTAGCAATTAATTTTTTTAAGTTTTCAAAAACATTTTAATAAATATCTCTTCTATATTGTTTATTTTGAATTTAAAATTTACACATATAAAGATCCTCTCAGTCGATATACTTTCTTAACATACATTCGTAAAAAAACACAGAATAAATAATATAATCTTGGCTTCTAAAAATAAGTTTCTTTTTAGAACGGGGAATAGATAATTAAAAAAAGTATTAAAGTTTTTTTTTACTGAATTTTATAATTTTAGACTCGACAGAGTTAGTTACGATCTAATTTCTCAAAACGTTCGTACTAATCATTGTTGCCGTCTGCCATTTCATATTGCAACCAATTAGTCGAACGGAGCTGAAAAGACAATTTACGGAATTATCTAAATAAGTCAAGTTTAATTAGATTTCCTTAAAAGTTTGCTGAATAAATTATTATTATTATCATTAATAATAATACAATCATTAGAAAATTATTCAAGCGTCTCCCTCATGATCAGCTCTAAATGTAAATGAGTCCTCGAAAGAGCTAAGTCCTTCTTTGCCGAGAGAATGAGACACCACATACCATCTAACAACTTTGGCTCTTGCGTTTACTAGCGGCTCTGTAATAGGGTATTAAATAAGTGTAAGGTCTCTTTTTCTCCCCTTATCAACCAATATGATGTGTGATGATAAAGCTGAATAATTTACCCGTAAATTCTAACGTGCTAATAACTTTGGGAATGGTATGAATCCTCTTCTTCTCCCCTCAGCTATGAGTAAATAGCAGGGCAGACTGGGTTCTATAGCCTTACGTGGCAACTAGTCTAAGAGAAGGAATCTTTGAATTCAAAACCCACCTAGAGAGGGCTAGGCTATGTCAGGTTATTTTGCCCAAGAAACACCACTTCTACAGTGGCTGCAGTAACGTGGTGCCCTGATGGATCACTGGATTCAGAATTGATTGCGATCATTATTAATTTATCAGGAAGAGAAGAATATTTAACTATTTTTTTTTTATCTCTGCGTCCCGGGCGACGGATCCTGGCTCAACCGCAGAACTGATCAAATTACAGGCCGAAAATGTATCCGCACAGGTCGCATCCCAAATCAACGACTTCCCCATTTTAAAAGGGAAAATGGTAATGCCATCCGTCCGCTTACCATCACCGCGATCGAGGCCTACGGGTTCGATTTGGGAAGGGAACCCAGCTGCATCCAAACCTCTTTTGATGATGTCGTTAATGGCTGCATGCCGTGGTAAACGACTGGCACTACGACCACAGGAGAGAGGATGCAAACCAAATTCATCAATGGAGGCTCCACATCTGCATCTGTGACGCTCACATCATTTGAGCCCAAGACGGATCGCGACTACGACCCGAGTGCACCCATCATCTAGAAGGGTACCGATAGATGAAGAGGGCACTGCGTTGAGCCAGGCGCCACTACTCGGTTGTAAGGCAGATAGTAGACAGACGAGGCGATGCTGATCCAGAAAGAGCCTCAAATTAGTAAAATCTATGGCAGTGGAGACTTCAGGGGTTATTGGCCCTCGTTCGATGGCGTTCCTTCGGAGGATTGGCGCGATTGCGTCTCGATTAAGAGACGAGCCACGCGAAACGGAATGGCTCTTGCAGCGTATCTCACTGGCGATGGTTCGAGGTAATGCTTTCTCCATCATTGCGGTTGGCAGAGGATAAAAAAAAATTGTTTATAGTTACTTTGTTCAAACTTTTTTTTAATAAATAAATTTCTTATTAATGTTTTTTATCTTAATTCTTCCACACTACTTGTGGCTTTACTGCCTTGCATGGAGTGATACCATTTAAAAAGAAATTTTTATAGAAATAACCCTTTCTTCATTTACTTTTCTCTGTTCGGGGGACGGGTATTTGGTTAAGAAAATAAGATTGATTGATAGGAATCGATTAACGATCATTGGGTTTCATTTTGTCAACATGTCTAAAATGTGGTAACTCTCCTTTTTAATTTTTTTTTTTTGCAATGATGTTCACACTCTACAAACAAAACTCAGGAGCCACTCAAGGTAGAGGGTTACAGAGTAAGACCCTCCCCTCTCCAAAAAAAAAAAAAAGAAAAAAGGAAGGTGAAAGAAAAGGTTTTAGAGTGAGCCGGAGACCCGAGCCTACGCAGGAAACAAGGGATAACCCTCTACTCCTGTTCATAAGAATGGGGAAGATTATTAACCGGACGATAGACAAACCTCATTACTCATGCATGAAAAAAATATATAAATAAAACGGAGAGAAATTTGAGTACAGTGTAACCCGGATATAAGAGACCCGGATATAAGAGAAACCCGGATATAAGAGAAACCCGGATATAAGAGAGATTTTCTCTGGTCCCAAATTAGAGCCTGTGTTAATGTATACATATAGACCAAACCCGGATATAAGAGAAACCCGGATATAAGAGAGATTTTCTCTGGTCCCAAATTAGAGCCTGTGTTAATGTATACATATAGACCAAACCCGGATATAAGAGAAACCCGGATATAAGAGAGATTTTCTCTGGTCCCAAATTAGAGCCTGTGTTAATGTATACATATAGACCAAACCCGGATATAAGAGAAACCCGGATATAAGAGAAACCCGGATATAAGAAAGATTTTCTCTGGTCCCAAATTAGAGCCTGTGTTAATGTATACATATAGACCAAACCCGGATATAAGAGAAACCCGGATATAAGAGAACTCTCTTACATCCGGGTTACGCTGTATTTCTTTTATATGTCAAGAAACTTGCTTAAATCGGAGAAAATGGCACATTCACAGGGAATTCAGTGAGAATCGAACTTACATTTGCGCGCGAAACAAGCTCATTAACCATCCCGCCACCAGAGCCACCCACGCGAACTCTTCCATAATTGACAATGACATTGAAAGAGGGAATTTCTCGCAGATGAAAATCAATAGAAATAAATATAGAAAAGCAGTTTCTTTTTTCTTTCTATCAAAATATCGATCGGCAGCTCGTCGACCTTTCTTTTGTCTGTCTCTCAGTCTATTTCACTTCCTCTCTCTGTTAATCCCCCCCCACGGCCGCCGTTTTATTATATCTCCTCGCTCTTTATTTCGCCTCCTCTCTTTTGTTCATACCTTTTGTCTTCTTTCTCTATTTTTCCAGTTTCTGTCCCTGTCTCTCTCTCTTTTTCTCTCTCCCTCTCTCTCTCGTGTTTTTCTGTCTCCCTTAATTTCATTTTCTTTCTTTCTCAATTCTTTGAGTCATTCTCTTTCCCGCCTTCTTTCTTTCTTTCTTTCTTTCTTTCTTTCTCAGTGATTTTAATAATTCTTTATCTCCTTCCCGTTCTTTCTTTCTTTCTTTCTTTCTTTCTTTCTCAATTCTTTGAGTCATTTTCTTTCTTTCTTTCTTTCTTTCTTTCTTTCTTTCTTTCTTTCTTTCTTTCTTTCTCAGTGATTTTAATAATTCTTTTTCTCCTTCTCGTTCTTTCTTTCTTTCTTTCTTTCTTTCTTTTCATTTTGAACTATTTTGAATCATTCTTTTTCTCTTTCACGTCTTTTTCGGTCTCTTTTATTCTTTCTTTCTTTCTTTACATTTTAACTTTCAATTTTGGAAATTACCTCGTTTTATATATATATATATATATATATATATATATATATATATATATATATATATATATATATTATTATCATGTTTCATCTATCTACCTATCCAGGCAAGATGAGAACAAATCTAAAATAAGGAATATATATATATATATATATATATATATATATATATATATATATATATATATATATATATATATTTTTTCCGGTTACATACGAACGAAATTGCTTTTGTAACTAATTAGGGAACTAATTAGTGTTATCTTCCTTGCACAGGTAAGGTCTGGTGGCGGTGTCTCTTTCTGTGCAAAAGGGGTCTGCAACGAAAATCTCCTCTTTAAAATTTAGATAGAAAAGTTAAAAAAAAAGACAAAATTGATCGGATTATGTGAGGGGGAAACTTATAACAGGTTTAAGTGAATAGATTTAAACGAATATTCTTCTAAGAGTAATAAAATATGCTTTATTTTCCCGAGTGGAATGCTGATTTTCAAAGCATAGCTTAGGTGTGGCATAAGGCCGAATGTATGGAGCACCCAGTAAGAATTGAACTCACTACACAGTGGTAATGTTTCTATGATATAAACTTGCTAACAATTACACCACGTCGAGGTGCCCAATGATTTTCTAAGCGTAGCCTATATGTGGCACGAGGCCGAAAGTATGGGGCACCCAATGAGAATCGGACTCACTACTCTTGTTCTAGCAAGACGTCGTGCAAAGCGAGAGCAAGATCTAAAAGGTAGGCCAATCTAACAGTGATCTCATCTCACAATCCTCACTCTTGCTCCATATGCGGCCTCCTTTGTAAATCACTAGCGGTTCTTAAGTGCCACTAAAGATTATCGCACAAAATTTCATAACTGAATCAATTCAGCTGTTAGATCCTCATGTGGTCAGATGTGGCACAAGGCCGAAGCTAGTTAGTGTTTCTTGAGAATATATATATATATATATATATATATATATATATATATATATATTCTCAAGAAACACTAACTAGCGTTAAACCTAGCGTAAAAAGAACACAAAAAAACATTTAAAAGCAGTGATCATTACATAAAGTCACAGAAATTATCGTCCTTTTAAAGGACTATTTTCTTATTTTTGACAAAAGCGATGTTTCAGCAATTGTTATTGAATACATAATTGTGCGAATAACAGTCGCCTTAGCGGATGTGGGTTTTACTACCGAGCTTTCAGAGTTGTAAATGCATTTTCTGTGCATGTAAAAGAATGGTAATTATTGAATTCTATAAAAAAAAAACCCGCTTCGTTCGATTCCATTTTAATATTTATAATTCACAAAAGAAAAATGACTCTGTAAATGCAATGACGTACGAAATTGCGGGCCACTCTCACTAAAAGAACTTATCTGCCCTAAAGCACCCAATATAAATATATATATGTGTGTGTGTATATATATATATATATATATATATATATATATATATATATATATATATATATATATATATATATATATATGTATCTTCGTCTGCCGAAATAGGCAAATTCCTATATGAGGTGATTTGGGATTTTATTGTTTATTAATAATAAATACATTGAGCTCTTTTTGTGGATCAGTTTTAAAGTTTTATATTACTAGGATCCACTTGGATTATATACCAACGGATTTGTTGCCTTTACTATATATATATATATATATATATATATATATATATATATATATATATATATATATGGAATTAATGTAATAAAAGGTTTGTCACTTAGCTTATTGATGTTCCGACTCCAGAGTTTCTCCGACGCTCCCTCAGGGTATCACTTCATCCACTCGTCAGCGGTTTTAGCAATTGACTGCTTATACTTCAAGATTTTTATTTTTTTAATGCACTTTTCATTATTTTATTTTCATGGTGTATGTTTCCGTGTCTGCGTTCGCCGACCTTCCCTGAAGATCCGCTTAGGTGAAACCTTGGTAGGTTTGTCTGGCTCTCTAGGTTTAACTAGGTCTGCTCTACTCATTTTATTGAGCACTTTATTTACTTGTTTTGGGTACACGGATCGGGGTTTTTTTCTTTGGGCCTTGAACTCGTATAGATTATTTTCGTTTAACGTACCTGTTCTTGGTTCTTTCTTTTTTTATGCCTTTTTCCCCCCTTTGGTATTGGCTAGTTTATTTGCAAATCAATACATACATATATATATATATATATATATATATATATATATATATATATATATATATATATTAAATAGAAATCTTATAAGTATAAGAAACTATACTCGCTCGGAATATATATATATACATATATATATGTGTGTGTGTACGTCTGTAAAATCGTTATTATAATTTGGGATGATGGTTTTTACACTAACACTTTACACTAACCGAATGTCTCTTGGGCCTTGTACAAGTTGAACATAAGTGTAAATAAAAATAAAAATTAACCTACCATGGACATCCCCCTGTTTTTCTTTGAAAATCGATTATTCGATCTCCTTTTAATGACCTTCTATTTCACCCCATATATATATATATATATATATATATATATATATATATATATATATATATATATATATATATTGCAAGATCTAAAAGGTCAGCCAATCTAACAGTGATCTTATCTCACAATTCTCACACCTGCTCCATATACGGCCTCCTTTGTAAATCACTAGCGGGTCTTAAATACCACTTAATATTATCGCATAAACTTTCATAACTGAATCAATAAGCTGGAAGATCCTCATACGTCGAAACCGAAGGAGAGAGTCAATTAATATATATATATATATATATATATATATATATATATATATATATATATATATATATATATATATATATATATATATATATTAAAGTATAGGTTTGGTGCATACGGAATAAATTCCAATAACCAAAAAATACTATTCGTAAAAGAGTGTTCAATATAGAGTAGAGCAAATATAATTATTTATACGAAAATTATAACATAAATATGTTATAAAATCACTACAAAAATAGCCATTTTGTTTCAACACTTCTGGTGTCTTATCAAGTGATGGTGTTGAATAAAGAAACTTCAATGGCTATTTTTGTAGTGATTTTATAACATATTTGTGTTACAATTTTCGAATAAATATATATATATATATATATATATATATATATATATATATATATATATATATATATATATATAAAGTGATTCTTCAATGTAGATTCATTCTTTAGATAAGGTAAAAAATTATTATTTTTTTTACTACTGCTTTGTCTCTTAATATCGTGGGTTATAATTGTAAAACCGCTTGCCTTTAAGGCGTTATTGTCGAGAACTATCCTGGTCTACCGATTTTTAGCAAAATGCTGTCTTTGTTAGTCTTGCTAATGTTTTTTGGGTTTTTTTCCACGGTTTTGAGTTTGGTGTTTGCCACTTGTATTAAGTCTTTGTTAGCAATGCCTGTTGGCCATTGGCGGTAAATACAAAATATTCTTCTTTGGCTGTCACAACCAGCTTCTTGCATCTCTAACACGTCTTTAAAATACCACCGGATCGAAACACATACATACGCAGTTTTGAAATTTCAGACAACAAAAAGAAACACAGGCCGATAAAATCCTGGTTTTGGCAGGACTGAAACCACACCAGACGAAGACGGCCTTTCTGAACATTATCCAACTTGCACGTCTGTGCACTTAGAATATATTTTAGACCGTCACCTCTCAAATATACAGTCATACGAACAGCTGCTGATATCGCTACGGGATTTAATGATAGTATAAATCAAGAAATGCCACGCCAACGAACAGTAACATTAATAGTCGCAGTCGTTATAGCAGTAGTAATACAGTTGGCGTTTTCTGTTTATTTGCAAAAACTGGTACTGCAACTACTGTTGTCGTTTTTAATTTTATAGAAGAAGAGAAAAATGCAGTTACAGTAGTAATAGTGGTGTTAATGGCAGTCTGCTCAAGCAGTTCGTATCTCTTATAAATGAATGACAATAAATACTGCCAGTGACGTCATAACGGGGCGATCTTTCTTGGGGCTGTGAAAGAAAAGCTTGTCTCACATTCTTCAAAACCGTGCCAGGCTTGTTCTGATATTTCAAAGTCGGTCAGCGTTTCTCTTCCGAGTTAGTTTTTGTCGGCAGACGATTTCAGTGGGTCTGGGGGTCGTGTGTCTTTTAGTAAAAAAAAAAAAAAAAAAAAAAATAATAATAATATACGACAACAACAACAACAATAACAATAATAATAATCTTTGAAGATCTTTAAAAGAAAACTATCAAAATAAAAGGATCTTGAAGTGGAAATCTAAAAAAATGAGGACGTTAATCATTCCATTTGTAGCTGGAGCACTCGGATTGATTGGAAAGGTTCCGATAGGCTCAACGAAGGGATTCCTGGTAGCCCATGCCTTAAAGAAATACAAAAAAGTGTACTCACAAGTAAAGTGTAAAATGTGTGTGATTATAGTTTTTTTTTTTTTTGTTTTTTTGGGTTTTTTTGGTGGGGGTCTTTTTTTACGAAAATGTTCAGTGGAAAACATCATGAAGCCATTTCTGACTTTAGGTCTCTGGTTGGGATCCGGAAGGAAATGTGTATACAACAGAAATCAAAGGAAATAATAATAATAATAATAATAAATTTGTTTTGTGTTCGAGATGTCAAATAAGTATAAAGAATTAGAAAGTTTCAGGTTATTGTAATTCATGCAAAGGCCAATGTCAAGGTTGCTAATAGGAATAATAAGAAGTTTGTTTTTGTAGTTATTATTTTGACGTATTCATTATGGTCTCAAGCCAATTCGCTTCTACGAATATTATCGTGACATGCAAGAGACAAGACATTATGTCATAGTATCTGTTGATGAGGCTGGCCATAGCGTGATACGAAAAATTTTAGCATGTAGAGCTTTTAAGCATAGAAAATTAGGAAATCTTTCCTATGCATCAGATACAACAAGTTATATATCCTCAGGCGATTTCGAATTGACCAAAATCGCCAGAAGATACCGAAAGGTTGAAACCAAGGTAGCAGAATCGGTTGATTTCCTTATATATATATATATATATATATATATATATATATATAAATATATATAAATATATACCATATTTAAAAACAACCACTTTAAGGTTCCATGTAATAAATTATTTCACCACAGCCCTTTTGAATTTACATTGAGCTCTCTGGATTTCATCCTCCTTAGGTTTACCATACGGATTACCTAGTTTTCATAAACTATATATATATATATATATATATATATATATATATATATATATATAACTATACCGTTTCGAAAAACCCTCAATTTTTGATTTGCCAATAATCAAATCAATCTCGAGGAAAAAAAAAAAAGTTTTAAAAAAAGAAAGGGCTAGAAACATGA